AAGGTCCCGTTAAAAAAATGACTTTAACGCTCATTACTGGCTTAAAAAAGTATAGCGATGAAATTCGATACACATATGTTTCATGCGAGTCAAAATCTCTCTAACAAGTTTTATGTGTTTCGGTCCATAATTGACCCTACATAAGGTCCCATCCAGATAAATACTTTAACGCTCATTACTGGCTTACAAGTACGAGTGTAGAGATGAAATTTGAGATAAGTAAATTTCTTACTCGCCAAAAGCTAAGAAACTTTTTGGTTCATACACTTCCTACCGGAAAGTGTATGAACCAAAATTGGTCTAAAAAAATTATGAAAAATTTTATAAAAACGGTCAATGATTCACCCTACCTCTCATATAAGATCCTATCAGTAAATTTGATGAGTAATATCACCCTGATGTTTATAGAAAAGCATATTCGGCATAGCCGAATATAGCACTCTTACTTTTTTTTTTTTTTTGATATTTCAGCTTGTAAGTTAGTAGAGTCATCTTAAGTCCAAAAACTTTTAAAATTCTCTTATTTAGTACTTTATAATGTATAAAATAGCGGAAAAATACTTAAAAATTCGGGATTTTAAAATCCCGAAATTTCCCGGGATTTCATTTTTTAAAATCCCGGTTTTCGGTACTTTCAAATCCCGAAAATCCCGGGATTTTCGGGAATCGGGAATTCCCGTTTGGCATCCCTATTTCATACACATGACCGAACTTTTTTCAATGCATTTAATGCAAAATCGTACTTTTTTCTAACGGCATCAAGCTACCGATTAATGTTAAGTGTTACCAATTTTAATTAGCGGTTTAGATGTGCTTCGTCGAATTGTCTTATAACACAAGAAACACCGCATTTTCAGCGAATGAGAAATTTTGATAAAATTTCTTTTGCAGTTAACATATCCCAGCTTCTCTACAATTAACTGCTTTTATCATTTTTAAACCGTTAAAATGAAAATCTGTTCGGTTAATTTAAATTTTGTAAAGAATTTATATATTTACATGAATGAACTTTTTTACACTTTTTTAATGCAAAAACGCAGTTTTTTTCGAACGGTTTTTGATTTTCGTATTAGCATCATTGTCAGCTACCAGTTGATGTATAATGTCCCCAATTTAAATTAGCGGCTTAGGTGTGCTTCATCGATTTAAAATGTAATCAAGCCCACAAAAGGGCTTGATTACATTTTTTTGACGCAAACCAATTCTTTCTATATAAAGATTGATTATTGATAAAATTCAGAATTTAAAATTTGTTTATAATGCGAAAATTCGCTAAAGTAAAAAATTAAAAATTCGCATTTTTTTGTATTCACTCTAACATCTTTGCATGCTAATATTTTATAGCGGCTTTATGATTTCAACATGTAAAATTTAAAAGTATTTCGATCACGCGATATTTTGGGTATATTGAAGTTACGCTGTTAGTGTGCTTTGCGAAAAAGCCATTTTTTAAAACTTTCACGTTTGTTTTTCCAATATTTAAGCTTCTCCCTCAGTGATACCTTCTAGAGCACATTTTGGAGATATACATCAAACGACGCGTAATTAAAATGTCTACTTTATCTCATTTATACATTTTGCATAACCGAAGAGCCGCAAATATTCTATCCAAAAACCTGCAAATTTTGTAAAATTGTATAAATTTGGTTTCAAAACATTGCGACCACGTAATTCTTTACTTATAAATGACTGAATAATTAAATATGGATTATAGTCATTCAACAAGTGCATACAGCTTACATTAGCAAAATTGACTTTCTAAGTTGTAAGCCGCCCTCATAATAACAAAAAGTTGTAAAAAAAACTACCCCACAGAAAATTTATAGCTTACTACATTGATATTGTGTTGCTTATTTTGTATTCGAAAGTGCTTACAAACTTACATTCTGGGTTACTTTATACAGGGTATGGCCGCTTGAAAATGACACACTAACTGATATACTTGGTTTGCGATATTGTGTGTAGATTATACTTTTTTTATAATATACTTGTGTGTGGAAAAGTAGCTATTCCTACATTCTTACCGATATACCTAGTAAGTAAAATTGTTTCTACAGAACCTTTTTAGCTGGAACACAAGTGTATCAAAAAGTATCTACAACAACTTTCTAGGTTAAATACATGTGTATTAAGAAGTATCTAAAAATGTATATTTTTTAAAAAATGCTACCCAAATACATGTATCTACAAATTAATTCATAAGTATAAGGCCATTCCAATTATCGCTAGATCATGATCCTAATTTTAAGCAATAAATTTTGCTTAAAATTCATCTGAACATTGAAAAAATGTTGTTCCAAAAAATATTTTTCAATAAATGAAAAATTTTTTGTTGATTAAATTACAGCACACTTGATTTTTTATATTTTAATTTTCTGTTCTCATATACAATGTTAATCACAAGTATATTAAGATGTAATGCAAAAAAATTTTGGTAAAACTGAAATTTCATATCCAGATTTTATATATAAGTAAATTAAATTATAAGTAACACAAAGTAAGGCACACAACATTGGTTACAATTCCGAGTACTCTGAAAATTTTCTGTGGGGTACTTGGTTTCAATCACATTTTTTAGAAATTTTAACTTTAGAGTGTTTGTTTCTCCAACATGGAACTACTCTCGACCACAAAATTTTATGGACGTATTCTTTCAAGTCTTGTGAATAAAAATTCGTCATCACTTAATTTTTAAAATATTAAACGAAAGAAATATTTAATGCATTTAATGTCTTAATGCCACTAATACTATTACTAGAACAACAGACACTAGTACAAATTGGGTTAGAGTTTATATAGAAAAATAATAGTACTAGGAGTAGTTGAATGGCGCCACTTCTAGACTGATTTTTGTTTGACATGTGTTGGAAAAAATTAATTTTTTAAATTATTAAAGTATAATTTTGAAACATTTTGCATAAAAAACGATATTTTCAAACATATCTCTTCAAATGAGAGAATAAATAGTGCATGCAAATTTAGGTCCGGTTGCAAGCAAATCTCTACATAAGTACGTCTATTAAATTTAAAAACTGCAATAAGTTTAGTATTTGTTTTATCGTACGGCAAATGTTTTTATAACGAAATTGAGATATGTACCTGAATGGAATTTTTAGACACAATAAAATCAATGGTGATACGGAAAGAACCAGAACTTCTTCACACTAGCATATTGAATTGTTAGGTAAATGTATTTACAACATTTTTGAATATATTATTTTTGTTGCTATCTTTAAAAATAAAACCGTATAAAAAAAGTAGTTGTGTAGTAATTTTTACTTGGAATTGTGCAGTAGGATTGCAAAAGAGCAAAACCACCAATTATGGCGACTTTTTATGAATATTAGAACTAGTATCAAACTGTATAAGTATAAGTCTAGAACTAATGGTGTTTGGAACTGAAAATCTAACGTAATATTTTCATAATTTTATACAAATCACGTCAGGCAGTAATATAAATTAATTCATAAGTATAAGGCCATTCCAATTATCGCTAGATCATGATCCTAATTTTAAGCAATAAATTTTGCTTAAAATTCATCTGAACATTGAAAAAATGTTGTTCCAAAAAATATTTTTCAATAAATGAAAAATTTTTTGTTGATTAAATTACAGCACACTTGATTTTTTATATTTTAATTTTCTGTTCTCATATACAATGTTAATCACAAGTATATTAAGATGTAATGCAAAAAAATTTTGGTAAAACTGAAATTTCATATCCAGATTTTATATATAAGTAAATTAAATTATAAGTAACACAAAGTAAGGCACACAACATTGGTTACAATTCCGAGTACTCTGAAAATTTTCTGTGGGGTACTTGGTTTCAATCACATTTTTTAGAAATTTTAACTTTAGAGTGTTTGTTTCTCCAACATGGAACTACTCTCGACCACAAAATTTTATGGACGTATTCTTTCAAGTCTTGTGAATAAAAATTCGTCATCACTTAATTTTTAAAATATTAAACGAAAGAAATATTTAATGCATTTAATGTCTTAATGCCACTAATACTATTACTAGAACAACAGACACTAGTACAAATTGGGTTAGAGTTTATATAGAAAAATAATAGTACTAGGAGTAGTTGAATGGCGCCACTTCTAGACTGATTTTTGTTTGACATGTGTTGGAAAAAATTAATTTTTTAAATTATTAAAGTATAATTTTGAAACATTTTGCATAAAAAACGATATTTTCAAACATATCTCTTCAAATGAGAGAATAAATAGTGCATGCAAATTTAGGTCCGGTTGCAAGCAAATCTCTACATAAGTACGTCTATTAAATTTAAAAACTGCAATAAGTTTAGTATTTGTTTTATCGTACGGCAAATGTTTTTATAACGAAATTGAGATATGTACCTGAATGGAATTTTTAGACACAATAAAATCAATGGTGATACGGAAAGAACCAGAACTTCTTCACACTAGCATATTGAATTGTTAGGTAAATGTATTTACAACATTTTTGAATATATTATTTTTGTTGCTATCTTTAAAAATAAAACCGTATAAAAAAAGTAGTTGTGTAGTAATTTTTACTTGGAATTGTGCAGTAGGATTGCAAAAGAGCAAAACCACCAATTATGGCGACTTTTTATGAATATTAGAACTACCCAGCTAGCATTTTCTTTCAATAAAGGGTCTTCCGCGATTGGAGGTGGCGATTAAATTAATCTTCCACGATATCGTATTCCAATTACGAAAGTTCAACGCAACGGGAGTAACTGTGTCACAGCCGCGACTCTTCTCTATGAATCGTCTACGATGTGTTAAAAAGAGTCTTGACACAATCGTCTTAATGAATCTTCTACGATGCGATAAACAGAATCTTTACACAATCGTCTTAATGAATCTTCTACGATGCGATAAACAGAATCTTTACAAAATCGTCTTAATGAATCTTCTACGATGCGATAAAAAGAATTATAGAAGAGTCTTGGAACGATCGTAAAGAAGATTTTAATTGATCCTAAAATGCCTAAAAATATGCTAAAAATAAAAAGTATTGATATTCGTTTTATACTGTTTATTGCATTGGCATTTTTTGTCAACTTTAAATAAAAAAAAAATTAAATATAAATTTGAATTCAATGATGAAAATAAATACATACATATGAATAATAGAAATAATTATGCAATAGAAAAATTATTAAAAAATAAAGTTATTTTTATAAATTTGAATTCAATTATGAAAATAAATACATACATATGAATAATGGAAATAATTATGCAATAGAAAAATTATTAAAAAATAAAGTTATTTTTCAGCCAAATCGTCAATTTTCTTGGCTTCATCAATCTTTTTGGTTCGGTCACTCTTTCTGAGACGGTCACCAGCATGAACAAAATGTTGTTGTAATACCTTATTTATACCTGCATCATCAGCTTTCGGAAATTTTGAATGGCAGACACCTTTAAAAAGAAAATAATTAGAATTCAGTAAAATCATGTTATAAAAAATACTTACTTGTTATAATTTTCGTTATATTGAATTCCTGAATACTGGGCTTACTGTTCGTTCCACGCCAACTCAATTTTGCAGCCACATCATCGCTCAGCATTTTTTTAATTGCATTCCTGACAAACGAGTTGGAGCTGTCGCCACCCACTTTACCAATAACGTATTTCTGTAAAAATTTTGATATGAATATATGTATATATGTATGTTTATATTAAAAAATATGTATATAGACGGATAATTATATACATACCAATTGAGCTACAATATCCACGTTCTCTTCTATTTGTTTATGTAATTCTTCCAACTGTTTTACAGTTTTTATGGGTAAAGGTGGCACTAAATTGGTTTTAATTTCCTCAGAATAAATTAATTTTAACTGACGCACTTCATTTCTTACGGTTATCACTTCCTCTGTTAGTCTGTCGATTTGCTGTTTTAGCGTGCGCACTTCTCCTAAAATCTCCGTCAACATATTTTGTTTACTATCTGAAAGAATTAATGTAATATAAAGTATAATGAATGAAATTATGACATTTATAATGTTCTTATACCTGTCTGATTATCTGGCGGTTTGTTTTGTATTTGTTGCAATTCACTTCTTCTATATATTCAACTGGAAAATTATCGCAAACGGATGATGTTTCAGTGAAATCCGATTCAACCAATTTTTCGAAAGAACTGACTTTCATTGGGACATCATCGCAATCAGATGTTTCCCTGCCTTTAACTTGTTTTTTGGATGATCCCACTTCATTATAAGCAGACTCCATCATATTTTTTGCTTCTCGTTTGCTTTTTAATCTTATTGCTTTATTTGATAGCATTATAAATTATTTTATATTATAAATTTAATTTTTGATTTCTAATAAAACACTTTTTAGTTAATACACTTAGTATTTATTAGAAACTTTGTTAAAAATTAAATTTTTAATTTAATAAACTTCAAAAACCACTTTTTATTCTTACTTGTCTCGACACTGATTATAAACTGAGTTGAAAAGAAGACAAAATAATTTGTTTTTGCTAAACGTTTATACGTATAACGGTAAAATTCGCCCAACTATCTCCAGAATCCGTAATCGGCGATTGTTGCGTAATATAAATAAACCGGTTTGACAATAATATATGCATCATTTGGAAGAGTAAAATATGATCGTTGACTAACAACAATCCTCCGATGATCGCTAAAATACATAAGCGACGATTAATTCGTTCAACAATCGCCAAAATTACTCGCAAAAGCATCTTTTGGTTCATTAAAATATATATTTTTTTAAATAATCGTCAGGACGATTATAAAACGAGTCACAAAATGAAACAATCGTCTGGAAGATTGAAAAAAGATTCACAAAATGAGGACAATCGTGTGGACGATTAAAAAAATAGTCGCAAAATCATCGCGCTCGCCAATGAATCATGTAAATGCTAGCTGGGTAGTATCAAACTGTATAAGTATAAGTCTAGAACTAATGGTGTTTGGAACTGAAAATCTAACGTAATATTTTCATAATTTTATACAAATCACGTCAGGCAGTAATATAAAGAGAGCGTTTGCAATTAGCTGACCACAGCTGTATAAACCACTGATTTTGAGCTACATTTCTTAAATCATAGGAAAAATCAATTTAATTTTTTTCAAAAAATATCATGGGAGTAAAAAATACATGCGTCAAAACATATGGAATATGCCGTTTAGACCAAATCAAAAACCAGTTGGCTTTTGAAAAACTAAATTTCAAAAACCAATACGTTTATACCAACATCTTTGCCACAAAACCCACTTTTTTATTTTGGGAACCACTCTAATAATATTTATACCCTTCACCTTCGTGAGAAGGGTATATACAAGTTTGTCATTCCGTTTGTAATTTCTATAATATAATTTTCCGACCCTATAAAGTATATATATTCTGGATCCTTATAGATAGCGGAGTCGATTTAGCCATGTCCGTCTGTATGTCTGTGTGTATGTTGAAATCAGTTTTCAGAAGACCCCAGATATCTGCGAGATCCGAATTTTCAATGATTCTATCGGAAATACGATCGAATAGAACGCTATTTAAAATCAGCCCAATCGGTCAATAAATAAATGAAATTAAGTATGTAGAGCCCGGATTAGGCCAGAACACATAAAAGGGGACTTTTTGGTACTTTTTCGTTCTACAAAAGGTACTTTTTGATTTTTCTATAATATTGAACCTAGATACATGAAATATAGCGTGTAGGACCTTGACTAGGTTAGAACCTATTAAAGGTGACTTTTTGGTACTTTTTCGTTCTACAAAAGGTACTTTTTGAATTTTCTGTAATATTGAACCTAGAAACATAAAATAAAGTTTGTAGAGCCCGGATTAGGCGAGAACACATAAAATGACTTTTTGGTACTTTGTCGTTCTACAAAAGGTACTTTTTGAATTTTCTATAATATTGAACCTAGAAACATGAAATTAAGAATGTAGAGCCCGGATTAGGCGAGAACACATAAAATGGTACTTTTTTGTTCTTCAAAAGGTACTTTTTGAAATTTCTATAATATTGAACCTAGAAACATGAAATTAAGTATGTAGAATCTGGATTAAGTGAGAACCCATAAAGAGGAACTTTTTGGTACTTTTTCGTTTTTCAAAAGATACTTTTTGAAATTTCTATAATATTGAAGCCAGAAACATAAAATTGCATGTAGATCTTGGATTATGAACCTATAAAAGGGTACTTTTTGCTACTATGTCGTTCTTCAAAGGGTACTTTTGAATTTTCTATAATATTGAACCTAGAAATATTAAATTATGCATGTAGAGCCCGGATTAAGTGAAAACACATAAAAGGGGACTTTTTGGTACCTTACCGTTTTACAATTGGTATTTTTTGATTTTATGTAATAAAATTCGTACTGACACATCATGGTGAAGGGTATATAAGATTCGACACAGCCGAATATAGAACTCTCACTTGTTTTTAGTGAAATTATCATTAAATTAATATTTTTTCATCAAAATTTGTTTAAATTTTTGAATTATTTAAATATTTTTTTTTTTATCAAAAACCAGTTAAAAGTAGTTTTTAATTTGTATGGAAAAACCAAAGAAATTTTAGTAGTTTTTCAAACAAAAACCAAATAAACCAAACTTCTAGTTTTTGATTGGTGTAAATGGCATATAAACTTGTCTTGATAATTGGTTTATAGCCCACAGTTGGCATTGGTCGGAACAACGACGATATGTTATTTTAATACCAATAAAATTCAAATGAGTTAAAAGAAGTGTTTTTTTATTTATATTATTTTCAGTTCCTGCTACTGATTTATGGAAGGGAGTCACTGCTGTAAGTAATGCTGGTAAGAAACGAGGAAGAGGTAAAGGTACGGGGAAAAAAATCGCTAAAGATCTAAATAAGGGTCAAATAATTGGAGTTGGAAAAAAAAATATCTTATGGCCTGGATTAAATTCACCTATTATAAGAGGCAAAGAAATAGTACAACAACAACTGTTAGCTGAAGATTCAGAAAGGGAAAAAAATATTTTAAAAATACGTGATGCAATTGGAGGATTTCGTGTCATAAAAGTAAGTCCTGTTGATCGTGGTTGGTCTGGTTCTAAAATGCCAGGCCGAAGCATTGGAGCACCTGATGCCATAGGCGATGATACTTTTAATGGTTTCGACACTCGAGTCTTAGAAAATAAAATCGTTTTCATTATGAAGGGTAATATGGGAAGAAAACGAAGATTTTCAGTTATGAGTGTTACCGGAAATGGAAAGGGATTAGCTGGATTTGCCACTGCAAAAGCATCCGAAGCTCGTACCGCACTAAGGAAATCAAAAAATAGAGCTGGCCAAAAATTAATGAGAATAGAACTATGTGATAACCGAACGGTATTTCATGATTTCTATTGTGCTTTCGGAAAAACGAAAATATTCGTCTCAAAGAAACCAGAGGGGTATGGATTGGTTTGTCATCGAGCAATTCAAACAATTTGTAAAGTTATTGGTATACGTGATATACATGCAAAAATAGAAGGTTCTACTAATTTGCAACATATAGTAAAAGCATTTTTTATAGGAATTTTAAAACAAAAATCCCACAAACAAATAGCTGATGAAAAAAAAATGCATTTGGTCGAATTCAGAAAAGAGCAAGAAGAAATACCACATATTGTAGCTAGTCCAGATATTTGCAGAAAACAAGACAGTATAACCAAAGATGAAGTAACGAATTTTACACAGTATGTTTTGGGAAATAAAATAGTTTTAAACAAGACAAATATGCCCCCGTTTTACACAAATACTGTTGGGTACAAATTATATTCTAAAAAACAAGAATTGTTTAGAAATCAAAACAAAGTAAGACTTAATATGTTGATTAATTATAATGAACTTAAGAGTTTTTTATCGACTTAAATATGTAAAAAATAAATGGTAATATTCCCACTGTGCTATATTTCCAGCGTAACAATTCTATAGCAAATTTCAACAGCTTGTATTCTCGGGAAATGTAGCGCAAGGTGATTTTACAACAAATTATATATGTGTTTTTTATTTGATATTTATATGCACTGTTTAATGCAAGGTACTTACGTTGCGGCCGAACATATACATATGTTTGAGCATAATGTGTGGGTTTTTTGATATTATGTAGCTCTCATCAATAGGTTTAGGTTTAAAAAGCTGCATATCCACTCGGAGACCATAAGGTCCATTGTGATTCCCTTCAAAGAGTGAAGATTTAAAAATAGAGAAACAAAAACACAAGTCAGAACCCTAATGAGTAAAGAGATGAGAGAGAAAATATTTTTCCCCCTATAAAGCCCAGTCAAAGAAGTGACTAATTCCCTTGACAAAACCCTACCCGCAATATCCCCCATCGACTCTATTTCCTCCTCATCTTCGCATAACCTGCAATACTCCGGTATAATTCTGTCAAACTTACTGACAAAGGCCCTAACTGAGCAATGTCCCGTTATCATCCCTATCAGAATCCTTAGACTGCGTTTACCCAGTCTAAGTATTTTGGTAGTCCCCATATCAAGTTTTGGCCATAGGGCCTTTGATAGTTTGCCATCCAATCTGCTATTTCAGGACTGGTTTATGATGTCACGGACTCTTTTGAATATCAACCTATAATAGTGACAAATGGGTGGTTCTTCTTTGTCATCTATATCAAGGTTCGAACCTAATCTATCCAGTTCATCCGCAATATTGCATGGTAATGGCACCCGTGCCGTTATACATCTTGGACCCATCAGTGAAAACTGCACACCCACCAAAGTCTATCGGATACAAGCCTAGTTGGAAATTCTATCAGGTGTTTCCCCGAAGTCCAGAGTCGTAATCCGTAATTCCATGAGGTAATTACCCTGATCAAGTAGACATACTTCGTCGGGGAATGGGTATAGAATGATGTACAAGGCCGCTTGTGGAGTGCTTATAACACCGTGCGACAGCAATTATTGGACTTGAACGGGACCATATACATATAAAACCTTATGTCATATATAGTAGAACTGCGTTTTTAGTTTTTCATTTTGTAATCTTTTCTCCTTTTTAAAGGACTTCAAAGTTGTAAGGATATAGAAATTTCTTAAAATTTATTTAAATAGTTCTGCTCATTAGTTTTTCTTTATATGGATATCAATTTATAGAAGTAGATAATTTTTATACCCTTCACCTTCGTGAGAAGGGTATATATAAGTTTGTCATTCCGTTTGTAATTTCTATAATATAATTTTTCTACCCTATAAAGTATATATATTCTGGATCCTTATAGATAGCGGAGTCGATTAAGCCATGTGCGTCTGTCTGTCTATGTTTGTTGAAATCAGTTTTTAGAGGACCCCAGATATCGGCGAGATCCGAATCTTCAATAA